CTCTCTCTCTCTCTCGGTCGCTGTCTCGCCCGGGAAGAAAATTGGGTTGTCTCAAGTGTGACAGTGTCAGAACATGTGGCATCTTTGAACCTTGTGCATAAACTCGTTTGCAACTGGCCTAGACAAACTCTTTTGCATCCAGGACTCTCGNNCTCGCAACCAGCCGGGAAACTCCGCAAGACAGCAACGCAACCCTCCAGCAGCACTCGTGGCTCTAAACCCTGAAACCCTAATCCCTAAGCCCACCCTAGGCCCCAAACCCTAAAACCCCCCTTAGACCCAGACTCTGACCTAAACCCTAGACTTTTGCATCAGGACCTGTGCAATCGCCTGAAGGTCTGAGCATACGGAGTTTCAGCTCTCATGATTGCACTTCCATCCCCTTAATCCTAAACCCTAAAAATCCCAGCAATCCCCGATGCTCCTCGACCTTCGATCGGAGATCGCGCCTCTCCTCCTGAAGTTTCTCGATGGTGCTGTGGTTGTCCTGCGGGTTTCAAGGTTTAGGGGCTTATAGGGTTTAAGGTTTAAGAGTTTTAGAGGGTTTAGGGATTTAGGGGTTTCGGCGCTGACATTAATGGGAATTCAGGGGTTTAGGGCCGTGGCTGTCCCGTAAGGCTGTCTGTGAGGGTATACCATTACGGGATATGCAAGGGTTCTACATTTTCTAAAATTGCGCCAGAGGTTATAAGGCATGCATAAGCGCTCTATGCCGGGTTTGAAGGGTTCGTGGTTTAGGGCTTGGGCTATATTTTGCGATCCTGGGAGTCAGGCTTCGGGTTTCGCATTTTCAGACCAGAAAGTTAAGGGCCCTGGAAGGCTCTAAGAATTTGGGTTTTGGAAATCATGTTCAACAGTCTCACGGGTCCTGTAAGAAGCCTTGCATGACTTCCAACGAAGCCGTCTTATCAACAAGTCGAGCAACAGCGAGAGAGAGAGAGAGAGAGAAAAAAAAAAGAGAGGTAACGAAGCCTCATGCCACTAGAACAAGAGTCACAGAAAGCTCTGAACCTACTTCCAAGCAAAGCGCCCGTATTTTCTGCTGTATGCCGAAACCCACCGCTATTCCGCTGTAGAAAGGAATCTCAGCTCCAGGGGTACCTCAGCCGAAACCCCACAAACCCTGGGTTTAGGGTATCCTAGAACCCTAAACCCTAAAACCCTAAACCCTACACCGTTTAGGGTTTAGGCTTCCAAGCAGCACGCCTAAGCTCCCGTCCTTGGTGAGCTGGGTGAGGTTCTTTTGCGTATCGTCCTGCGTCAGGAACCTCGCCGGTCGGATGCATTGAAAGAACAATGAAAGGACCTTAAAAATGTAGTAGCAGTGTAATTTAATACCAATAAGAATAACTATGATATAACCCTACCACTATACGACTGCTGATATAGTAAAGGGAATCGTCAGCCAGCCTTCAGAAACGCAGGAAAATATCAAAGTAGGAAACAATAATTATAGATACGAAAACACTAGGAACGAAATCAAACAATAGTAAAAATCAGGAAAACGCATGGGACAGCAAGTAAAACCAAACAGCAGCATGAGCAGCAACATTCATGGAACAATCACCACAGCAGCAATACCACGACAACTCGCATAATCAATTCAAGACTGTTCGAAATAGACAGGGAAATCACAACCGACACACATTGGTACACGTCCACGTGCTTGACGAGATGTTCAACGCAACCACAGTCAGCTGATAAGCAAACGAAGGCATTGGAATCTATAAACGGGAATCTTGACCACTGACTGCTGAAAGCATGGCGACTTATCCCGAACACGCAGACAACAAACACAGTAGATTGGACAACGGCGTGATATCTAGCAATGCTCTGCTCGATGGAGACAGGTGTGCACAGGTCTCACATGCATGGCACATTTTATAAGTCTAGGAGTCTAGAAGCATTTAGGAGCAGTTTCGGCTTGCTACCCCCCAACTCCACTTACTCGAGACTTCTCTTGGGGGCTCGGGACCAGAGTGGTTCCTGCCCGGCAGTTCCGAAGCCGGAGGCCACAGGCGGGAGGGGCTGGGCGTGGTGGTGGAGGGAGGGGGGCCTCAGCGGCCTCCTGTCTTTTCCGATGTGCTCCCTACTTTTCTATTTCTCCTGAGAAAAACATAGGAACAACACAGGAAAAACGCGGGAACATAGTGGGAGAAAAACAGTTGATTTTGCAGTCTCAGTCTGCGCCCCTCCTCCGCTGTGGTGCAGTGGGACGGAAAGGGGAGAGTGGAGGAATGGGGGGGGTGGGGGTGAGAGTTGGGTTGCTCTTTGCTTACTTATGCATTCCCCCTTCCCCCTGCCCACCCCCGACCTCCCCAAAGCCAGCTAGAAGCTCCACCCATCCACTTTTGCACGGAGCTTTCAGCTCGCTTTGGACCACCCTATGCCGAAATTCGACCCCTCCGAAAAGCCCAATATGCTTTCCTATCTTAAATCGTATTCCGAAATCTGACCCTGTCCGAAATCCTATTCGAAACCCTGGTTTTCCTAAAATAACTAATTGTCTGACCTCCTCGATGCTGGCCAAGAGCTGTTACTATACTAATACTAACAGTCGAGTCATGTTCATAACAATGATAATTAACATGATAAGAATAAGAATAAGAACACTACAATAATAATGAGAAGGCATTCAGAAGAAGATTCATTCATGCCGCTTGTCTACAATTGCAGTATCAAGTAAAGCTCAAACAAGAGAAGTGCACTCACAGTATACGTGACATGTCACGCCTGTGCAGCCCCGAATCCGCGCGGAGACAGCATCCGGTGATCAGCATGCAATGCTCACAGGGTTGACAAAGCATACATGCCCTATGGCATTGTGCCAGTCTCACGTTACTACTCAGTCGTCTTCGTCCTATACTAGTAGCCCCGGAAACCTCGAACCCAAACCAGGGTGTCCAACGGCACTGAAGCACTCTAGCACCAAACAGCACAAGGAACGCCTTTACAAAGGTTCAGCGTGCAAGGATACCGCGGTTTTGTTCCTCAAGGCACCATGCTAAAGCTATACTGCATAGGAACCGCTTCATAACTCCTGCATGTCTATACCAGATGGCGCAATATGTAAGTACATGCATCCTAGGGTTTCAGACGCTGCCAACTAAGGCCCAAGAACTTCTGGATGATCTCGTTGGGATCATTCACGCCAGTGGCCTGCCAAGTCAAGGCTTCCAGGGCCTATCCGAGCTATGTAGACACGGAAGCACCTCGGCTTCAGAGACCCTTGACAGATTCTGAGAAGTCCGTTGCTAATTATCAACCGCTTGGGGATGAATGCTTTGCACTACGTTTCAAAAGATCGCAACTCGCCAGCGCCTCGAAAATCCAACACGCTGACGAAACATAGCAGTGAAGATCGTATTATCAGTCCCCAAGCCCTTTTTCGCCGCCGGTGGGCCGCCCCCAAAGCTGTTTTCGCCCCTACACGCTGGGTCAAGAGCATCATCCTCGATGCCGTTTAACCACCCAGATCCAGCAGCATCAGCCCCCCAAAGTTTCAAAGCTGTTTCGCCCGACACTTCGGGCCAGCATCAGCGGCATCATCCCCAATGCCTTAGCCACTTTAGCCACGGCCCGGCAGCAGACCAGCATCAGCAGCATCAGCACCCAAAGCTTTTGTCGCCCCTTCGCTTTGGACCAGCATCAGCCCCGATGGAATTTAGCCAGGGCAGAGCATCAGAACCCAAACCTTGCCCCTGGGCCTCGGGCCAGCGTCAGCCCAAGCGTTTTTCGCCTCTATGCATTGGGCCAGCATCAAAAGCATCACCCCCGATGCCGTCCAGTCGAGCATGAGCACCTCAGCACCAGCAGCATCAGCCCAGCACTGGGCCAGCATCAACAGCATCATGCCCGATGCCTGTTAGCCAGAGCCCAAACTTTTCTTCGCCCCCACGCTTTGGGCCAGCATCAGGAGTAGTTTAGTCAATTCCTGGCAGCGGGCCAGCATCAGCAGCAGCATGACCCTCCCAAAGCTTTTCTCGCCCCTGCGCTTTGGGCCTGCATCATCCCCAATGCCGGTTAGCAGGGACAGAAATATGCCAGCATCAGCAGCATCAGCCCCAAACCTTCTTACGCCCCTATGCATTGGGCCAACATCGACAGCATCATCCCAAGGCCCGGCAGTGGGCGCCCAGCATCAGCAGCATCAGCACTCAAACCGTTTGTTGCCCTTGCGTTCCGGGCCAGCATCAGCAGCATCAGCCCAAACCTTTTCTCGCCCCTTCGCTTTGGGCCGGCATCAGCCCCGATGCCATTTAGCCAGGGCCCGGCAGCGGGCGAGCATCACCAGCATCATCCCCGGTGCCTTTCAGCCAGGGTCCAGCACTATCGCCGTAGCATCATCAGCCGCCAGTTATAGGCACCCGTAGCAGGGTAGGGGGCTATACTTCCTTAAATTGGCGTTATTGGGTCCCCCTTCCCCGCTCCCCCCTGACTTAGCATCGTCAGCACCAGCTGCCTGACCTGTCGTTGCCGTTGACAAATCGAAATGGCTGAGCCAACATCTTCGGCTTTGGTCGGTCTAAGGGTGAGCGATTTTCGGTGTTTTGACTTTAGGAATCTAGTGTTTAAACACAAACCCCTACACCCCATAAATCCTGCAGAACCCTATAAACCGCGAAGCATAGGCTTTCGACGAAACCCTGTTTGGCCAAGCGCCACGCCTGCCGCCTCAAGCCTCCTTAATGAGCTACTACGGCATGGTATCGTGTCGGGGTTAACGGGTTGTGTTTCCGTGCGGATGTATATGCATATGGGGTTTAGGATTGTTTCCCGGTTTCTGGGTACCAGTACATAAGTACTTCGGGGGTTCTGGGGGGTTACGTAAGGGGTTTGGGGGCTTTGCAGGCTTTGGGGTTGAGGGGTTTATCGGGCTTAGGTGGACCAGGTATGTGGTTAAAACCTTTGATCTCCAGATGTTGAGTTTTAGAAGTGGTTTAATATCAATGCCCCTATAAACCCTAAGCCCTAAACCGTACACCCTAAATCCCGATAGCCATGGGCAGTGGGGGAGATATCAGAGTGCTTGCCGAGGCATAACGCTGCGCGGATTGATATCCCGAAATATCCGTCTATGCATTCATGCTGGTTTAGGGTTTAGGGGTTTAGGGTTTGCCCTAAGGCTCCTAAGAGCGTCTTGGGTTTCGGCTTTGGGGGCTAGGGCTCGGGATCTCACTGCAAGGGTGCGGGAGCAGGGTTTAGCGTGCCGCTCCCTTTTGAACCCAGACTCTGCTGGGAAGCAACAGTTAAACCTGCAGCCAAAGGGCCCATCAAAACACCCCAAACCTCTGGAACCCCAAAACCTCAATAAGGTATAAAACCCCGGAGCCCATGCCCCAACAGCTTTTCGTCCTTGTAAAACCCTTACAAAATATAGATCTGAGCGACCAGAAACCCTAGGCACCGGCCTCCTTGATCTGATTGAAAGCATGGATGAAGAGCTGGATCTTCTGCTCCTCCTCTGCAACATCTCCGGGGGAGCCTGGCAGCGTTTGCGGGGCTGGGCTGGGGGTTATGGCACACATCTTGGCACCAAAGGTATTTTGCTGCAACCGCTGGCGGACAAGGACACGCGTGTGCTCTCAATATATATAATATTATGTATGTATATATATACATATATGTGTGTGTATCTCTCTCTCTCTCTATATATATATATACATACATACACATATTATTATATATACACACACACACATACATGGATGCAATCATCACACATGCGCAATAATATGTACGGTTGATGCAAATAAGTATACGATCATAGGTATGGATATATTATGAATATATGACAGAAATCAGAAAGACAGGCAAACAGACGGACAGACAGACAGACAGACACAGACCGACAGACAGACAGAAAGACGGACGGACGGACAGACAGACAAGACAGACAAGACACGACAAGACAAGACAAGACAGACAAACGTGTGCACCTACAAACGTACGTAGCAATACAATTCAGTAGACTGCAAGACATGACATACCGTGTATTGCGATACCTAACATCACACTACACTACGCGACGTTACATGAAATGACATGGTGTGACATTACACAGCGTAGATTACTCTGCATTACATTTACACGGCATTGAGTTGCAATACAGAATGTGTTGCATAACCTCCGCCTACACAGGCACATGCACACATCCGTACATACATACCCACACACACACACACAAATACACGTGCACATATTCATGGGCATACATACGTGATCACACATGCATGCATTCACACACCAAACCCTAGCCCATCATCCCGACACTACGCTTCACACTTAGACTCTCCCAACAACGAGACTCACATGCTGCTTTATGAACGCAGAAGTCGTGCATCACAGACATATTCGGGGTAAATTATATTCTCTTTCTAAAGGGAACCCTAAGCAATAGCGTTTTAATGTATCCCGACCCCGGAAGTAATTCAAAACACCTTAGAGTCTGCAGGACAATGGTCCCCGGCGCAGCGCCTCCCTGGTCCACCGCAGGGAGGTCGCGGGCCTCTCTCTTCTGATTGCTTTCAATCTCCTGGGCAGCAATTCTTGAGTTTCTTCCCTTTTCGGGTTCTTTTTGCCTCCCACCTGGCTAGGGTTTAGGGACGTTTAGGGTTTAGGATTTCTCCTCCGAATAAATTGGTCAGTTTAGCCTTGATTGAGCTCCTTTTTCGTGCTGCCCATCTGAGTTTGGGGTTTCGACTCAGGGTTTGGTGTTTAGGAATTGTGCTCTCGCACCTCGGCGCAGCCTAGGGTTTTGGGTCTAGGGTGTAAGGCTCTCACCTTCGGGTGAAAGAAGTAGGGAATTGGGGAGTGACACCTGCTGGTAATCGCTGTGGATCCCACTTGATTGCAAAGGTGTCTACACCATGTGGATTACTCCAGGGATTGTCGCCAAGCCCTGAATCCCTGCAAGAAGTCAGAAACAACTGTAGCCGGCGCTGCGCCAGGACAGCATAATGCACACACACACACACTCACTTTTTCTGTTGCACGCTAGGCGTCTAGAAGCTACCCTCCATCTACAACCCATGCACCCCCTGTAAGTCCTGAAAGGCCACAGCACTATAACTTGGATTCTGCCCCCCACTCTGTAACAGTTGGATAATATTGAAAATATGTCTAGAGTCTAAAATGGACTCTTACAGGGAGGGGGCAGTACCCAAACTGTAACCCTAAACCCTAAACCCTACTGGAGAACCCCAAGCGGTGAAAGCAAAGCGTCCTGCTGCTGCTGCCTCTGCATGCGCTCGCGCATCTCCAGGCCTTGGCTGTGGGCTTTCGTGGCAAACGACTTGCGGCTGGAACTCTTATTATCGGCTTTAGAAATTGGGGGTTTCGGGCTTTAGAAAGTTGGGGTTTCAGGTGTTAGAACTTTGGGGTGTCAGGTGTTAGAACTTTGGTTTAAGGTGTAGGGCTTCGGTTTAGGGTTTCGTATCTCTGGCTACCTTGACATACCTGTCTAGTTCCCCAGAAACACGCACGGCTAGCATGTGGGATTGATTCTACTGCCGCAAAAAGCTTAAAAGGTGACTTACTCTACTACTACGCCAAGCGAACCTGTATAGCAACCCTTGCAATTACCAACATGTATAGAGCTGCTATGGAAACCCTTACAGTCTCTTAATTATAGAACTCTTTGGTAGCCGGTAACCCTGATCCTAAGCCTCCACGAAGCTTCGGAGCTCTCTGGGCACTCGGCGCTTGTTCATCTCCACCCGCTGTTCCACCAAGGCCTGGCCGCAATGGTCAAGCAAAGGGAGAGAACGTTGGGATTCATAGGTAAAGGCCGATATGTTCATGCGACTTTTACCGCTCTCGAGATCCGCGCAAGGGTCCCTTGTTTTCCGACAATGTCGGCTTCTGGCTTCTTGGACTTGGGCTTTTTCAGGTAGAGTCGGTAGAGTTGATCAAGCTTTTTTTCGCCCGTCTTAAACTCAAAGACTAACTACCCCATCTAGATAGTTCAAACCCTTGTGAACCCAGAAACTCTCCCGATCAGCTGGGAAGCAGCACCTAAACCTTGCACCCTAACCATAAACCCTCTCTCTCTCTCTCTCTCTCGCGTTAACCATAAACCCTTAACCCTAAATCCTCTGGCCTTCTTCTCTTGGACCTCTTTGTCGCGCTGGTTCCTCTCCTCCATGACCCCCTGCTCGAATCGGTGGAGCCTGGATCATCGGCGACGTAGGGGACGCAGGGGTGGCTTTTTCGGGTGTAGAGGGCGATTTCGGCGCTCACACCCGGACGATAGGCAATGTGAAACACACAGAGAGAGAGAGAGAGAGAGAGAACAGAACAGAACAAACAAAGACATAGACAACATCCCTCCGGATTGCAACCTGCTAAAAACAGCATCCCATGTATAGAGGCCCAGGTACTTCTCCTTGTGAGAGACAGCTACTCGCACAAAAGCTTAGCCCTAAAGCCCAAGGGCTTAGGAGTTTAGGGCATAGGGGTTTAGGGTTTATGGGTTGAGGTTTTCTGGTTGAGACAAATCTTAGCAAGGATCTCTGCAAAGTAAGCTTTTTGTCTCGCAGCTACAGCAGAGACCAGCTGGTTGCGGGGAGGGGTCTGCGAGCGGTTCTGTCACAGCGGCAGTTCTGATCTCCGAGAAGAGAACACACTTGCAGTCAACACACCCTGCAAAATTCAAAGTAGGAAAGAACTCAGCCCTAACCCTTAAGCCTTAAACTCAACTCAACTCTACGGAGAAATAATGATCACTCACAGCCAACTAACAGTGGTAGACACACGAGTTTAAGGACTAGGAAGTGCTGTGCCATTGGCAACCGGAGGAGACTTGACTACAACCAAACAAATTCTCCAAACTAGCAGGCACGTCAAGCGAATCGTATAGACATCAAAGAGCCCCAAGGCCTCAAGCACACAAATAGTATATGCTTCGGGATCGCAAGTCTGCGACTGATAGCTGTTTTGGGCTATTTGGAGCCCCGGGTAAAGAAAAGCAATGAAAAGCACCGGATTCGTACAGCATTATCCGCAACACCCTAAACCGCTCCTGCACCCAAAACGCCTGAACACCAACAGCCCAAACCCGAAATCACCAAAACCCTAAACCCTATAGACCCTAAACCCTAAAACCCCTAAAACCCTAAACCCCTAAAGCCCTAAAACCCCTCTAGACCCTAAACCCTAAAAACACGAATTTCACGAATTCCTTCCTAAGGCCTGAGGCCCCGGCTCTGCCTGTGCCATCTCCTGGCGAACAGCCCAAAGAGGTCACGGAAAAGAGGACTTAAGCTTGCTTTATCTACCATAACCGACTTTTTTGATAGGGAGTTTATAAGGACCCTACAAAAAAGTTGGATTTGCTTCGTGGTTTAGGGTTTAGGGGCTATAGGGACTTAGGGTGATTTGTAACACAGCACCCTGCAGGCTATACTTGAGCTGATGGTCGATCACCACGTTTTGACTCCGACGGCAAGCTGGGAAAACAATTTCACAAGCAATCAGACCTGTCTAAGGAGTTGCAGCTTCTGGGATTTCGGAATTCATATCCTGAACTCACTCAGGCCCAAATTGGAAAAAGCCCCACCAAAACTGCAGCCTAGCATTGGCAGCCCTGCCCCAACCCCCCACCCTCTAAGCCTGAGAAATCCCAAAACTGCGACGTCCTGCCTTGGCATGGTAGGCATCGTGGGACAAGAGGAGCAGCTCCTCGTAGTCCCTCTCCTTGGCCTTCGAAAGATCGGCGTGCAGAAGATCATTCACGTTTAAGGCTTCTAGTTTAGGCCAAGCCCTAAACCCTAAACCCAAAGCCCTAAAGCCCTAAACCCTAAACTCCTAAACCCTAAACCCGAGACCCTGAACCCGCCATGTGCTAGCCAATCAAGGCGCCTGTCGTACGACCATCAGGAGCAGTCACGGGAACTGTTCAAAATGAGGGTGCGCTTCTCGTTCCGACCATGACACTCCATCCAGGGTGTATCTTCCATCATCAACTCTGAAGATGATCCGAATCCCAGCGTCTCCGATGTAGGTTTAAGCAAGGCCCCCACCCAGCAGTCCTGAGTACAAGGGATGTTGGTAATTGTGTAAAGTATATCAATTAAGGTCCCTCTGTTCATCATACCATATCTAACTGTCTAACCTACTGCAGCGGGGGCCGTTCAACATGGTTGGTGCCCCTCCTGGCACCCTGTGAAATGAGCCAGGACCCAGAGAACCCAATACCCCTTAATTAAGGAATATGCCTTAAATCATAAGATTAAGTTTAAGGTATATTATATTCCTCAATTAAGGGGTATTAGGTTCTCTCGGGATCTGGACGATGCTGTTCTGAAACATCCAGGCGCAGGCTCCAAGCTCGTGCAAACCCGAATCTCACGGACCTAGCTTCAAGCTACCAAACACTAGCCCTAACTCTTGTCAATGTAGCCGAGTCAAGTCCATGATCCTCCGCTTAAAACTCCATGGGAGGGTAGGTTGAAGAAACACTTTCTTACCTTTCTTCAGTTCCTACAATGAGAAGCTTGGGTTGCTTCTGAGTTGCTCAGGACGCCGTTCAAAAACAAGTGCAAAGCAACGCCCCTCACCTTGCCCTGACATTGGCGTCCTCAAGCTTCAACTAATCCCTCCCAAAACACTACAGTAGAAGCCCAAAAGTTGGAAACCCAAGGGAATCCCAGCACGAATTGTCCTGAATCCGCTTTCCAACTTTTGGAGGTTTACTATATGCAAACCCACAGACCTTACAGAATCGCTGGTCAAGCATCACATCAAACATGAGGGTGTGCCGTGTGAACTAAACCCAGGGCAATCCGCCCGAAGCAGCAACGCCGAACGCACCAACAGTCCCTCAACCCGCGACCCTAATTGACATGACAGGTAAGTTCATTTCTTTGCTAATGGGGCCCAGAGATGTTCAATTTTTCTAACATAGGCCGAAAAGACGAGGCTAAGAGGTTAAAGTTCTCCCATCGGCTATCTAAGTACGCCTTGAACCCTGAGCCTCTACGCCTCACAAGCCCGAAATTCTTCCCTGCAGTCATAAAAGGAACCCTTAAAAGGAACCCTTAAAGGGAACTCTTAAAAGGAACCCTTGAAACCCTTAAGAGAAAGCCTTTAAGGTCCGCTCGATGCCGGCCAGCTGGTTATCGAAACCCATGCCTCGAGCTCACGTGCAACTTGAAACTCTCGGGTTTGGGGGTTGTGGGGTTTAGGGTTTAGTGTTTAGGGTTCGGGGGTTGTGGGGTTTGGGGTTTAGTGTTTAGTTTTGGGGGTTGTGGGTTTAGGGTTTAGTGTTTAGGGTTCAGGGGCTGTGAGTTTAGGGTTTAGTGTTTTTTAAGAGTTTAGTGTTTGGGTTTAGGGTTTAGTGTTTAGGTTTTAGGGTTCAGGGGTTGTGGGTTTAAGCTGAAATTTAAATGGGTCTAGGGCTAAGGGTCCGGGATGGCAGGCTGGGGCTTGCATAGTGACATAGGAAGGCTAATGCCCATTGCCAGCTAAGTTCCGAACCGAACCGCCGAAATTCTGAGCTCCAGGTGCTACCCATAGGCTCCATTGTAGTTCCTTTTTGCGGTTTAGATATAGGATCCTATAAGGTAACCCTCGAAAGGAGCTACCATGGAGCCTATGGGTAACGGCTTGTGGCGTGTACCTGGCAGTGCTACAGACATCAAATCGGAGCCCCACAAATTGTGGTCGGGGTACTTTTAGACAAGCTCTAAACCTTTAAACGCCTAGACCCTAAACCCCAAAGGCCCCAAACGCCCTCAAAGGGTGGCTTCTGTGGGCCGTCGGCCCACCTGGCTCTCGGAGCCCTGAACCCTTTCATGCACCACTACGCCCGACCTTTGGATCCAACGACCCTCACTACTGTGAGGGTTCTACCGGTTCGGGGTTTAGGGTTCGGGGGCTTAGGATCACTTTACAGTAGAAGCTTGGAAGTTGGAACATCAATCTCATCATGCCCTTGAGGTAAAGTGTTGGGAATCCTAGCACTAAACATGCTGAATCCATGTTCAAACTTTCTGGGATTGGGTGCAGGGTCATCATAACCTACTCTTTGATACTTGGGCTTGGAACTATGAGAGGCCTCAAGCACGGAACCCTAAACCCGTAACCCTACACCCCTGAAGCCCGAGGAGGGGCTGAACGCTGCTGGGCTGCGCTCTTCCTTGAGCCTTCGAACAATGGCCTGGCCGCAAGATTCTTCAGCTGCGGCTTGGAAGTTGGCTCTTCGGATTTATTTTTTTGGTTGGGAGGGGGCGTGGGGCTGGAGTCTGAAGGTTGAGGTTGGGGGTGTAGTTGTTCTTGCTGCTGTTTGCGCTTTGGGGGCTCAAGGATTTGAGTTGAGATTTATGGGTGCTGGGGTCTCCGGCGAGCTAGAGATATGCAAAGGCTGGAGGCTCTAGCTTGACGTTCGGTGGACTCTGCTTGCTCGGGAGAAGTTGAGTTCATGGACTGGGACAAAGTACAACTTCATAAAGCCTTGAGTTGCTCGCGAGAAAGGCCGGCTAGACCTACGAAGATCAGCGACTCACAGCTGAAAGCCGTTCAAAGGCTCGTCACCAAGCCACAGGTCCACAGGTCGTAAAAATCTGAAGGAAACAGTTCCAGAAACAGGGAACTGGCAACTGACGAAACCAGTTGAAGCAACTGTGTTCTCCGAGAAGTCCCACATCCATCATGAACCCATCCGAAGCCCCTTTCGACCCCAGGGATCTCAAACTGGGCCTCACATATCCAAACGGTTAGGGTTTAGGGTTTAGGGCTGCAGTTCTGCCTCGTAGGTCTTGCGGATGCTCTGCGCCTTAGGAGAGTTCAGAGCGAGCTCCGCAGGCCCCTTCAGCCATAACTGTTCTTATTCTTCTTCTTCTTATTATTATTATTAGTGTTATTACTATTTTATTATATTGATAATTATGTTCATATTTATTTGTGCAGCTCATAATTTGCAGCTCTAGCTGTCCAACAGCCTTCAGGTTTCGCCCTAAACCCTAAACCCCAACGGTGTAACAAATGCAACAATTAGGATCCCAGAAGGTAACCCCACGGAGGAAATACAATGAAGACTATAGATAGACCCAGCGCTGCTGCGGCTTGCTGGAAACAAACATGAAGTAGAATTTATTAGGTTATACTACAACATTCTAGAATGCACTCTGATATCAGTATCACAGTCTCATATTCCAACACAGAGTATACTACACGATACTTCACTATCTTTATGACCAGCCTCGTTGTACTTGATCATCGTCTTGTCGAGGCGATTCTCCAGGACCTGAGCGGGGCACATCAACCCTCCCCGTGTGTTGCCTCATAGCTGTCTCTCTCCCTCCCTCTGTCTCTCTCTCGCGGTCGTTCTCGATGTCTTTCTGTCTATCTGGTCTGGTCTGGTCTGGTCCGTCGGCCGGTATGCATGTATGTATGTATATGATTTTATATGTGCGTCGTGCACTCTGCATTTATCTCTGCGCATGCGCACTCATGCGCCAGGAGCGTGCAAACATGCATCTATCCAGTAATAAATAGCCCCTCTTATCTTGTTGTTTGATGAAAAACCAACCAGGCGCCTCACTCAGTCGCCTGTGAGGCCCCAAGAGCTTCCTCCCAAACCCTAAACCCCTAAACCATATAGTCACATCTCCATAGACCACGAATCCGACACCCCTGAGTTCCTGCGTACCGGAATCTCTTTCCCAAAGCGTGACCCATGAAGCCGACACTTGGGCCCGAAAGTAGCTGCTAGCTAAACCCGGGACTGCTTTCAGGCCAAGGCACACAATATATGAAGAGTAATGGTGATTCCTACGATTTGCAACCCTACTTTCTAAAATGATAGGTACTTTGGGTCCTTTGGGCTCCTCTTTGTTCCTCTTAGCTGCTGAGTTCATAAGCCCAAACAAGTGTACACTTTCAGTTCTTTCGGGGATCATATTATCCCAAAACGCGTACAGTGTACTCATTCAGCCTCTAAGTCCTATTCAGCCTCGCGGCCCGGATGTGTCGCATCTCGGGGGAGGCCTGCGCGGTACTTGCGAAGCTGAGGCGGGGAATTTGGGGCTTCAGTGTGTATGTCCCATTTTAAATACCTAGGACCCCGAGGGATCCGAGATGAAGACTTCAAGGACCAAGAGACCTTTCAGAAGGCATGGGCCATGAGACTGTTGATGGAGATGAACCATAAATCCTTTTTGGCCTCATGTCACCTTTAGGAGGGACCGACTCCCTGAAACCGCCTCACTCGAGTGCATGGTGGCGCCCATGGAAAGCTCCGACATCTTGATGGACAGCCTCAGGGTTTAGGGCGTCGGGCTCAGGTATAGAGTTTGGGTTTGGGGTTTAGGGTTCGGGAATTTCTGGATTTGACGACTGGCAGAGTTTGGCAAGTAGGCGGGTCATTGCAGATATTTTCACCATTCTGGCCATACTAAGCCCCCTCATGCAAACAAGGGGTGCAACCTTCTGGGAGGCGTGCAAGCAGTACCTATTTTGGTAAGGCAACCTAAACCCTAAACCCCGGCGTGTCCGCAGATCTCCCCACGCCGTACCACTCCGCAAAGAACCAAGGGACAGTAGCAAGCAGCAAGTGTCAGCCGTCAGCCTTCCATGGTCATAGTGACCATTTATTGTCTATGCGGCTATGATAACCACAAAGTTTCGATGAGGCTCAGCAATGAAAACCTCAAGATAAGCTTCTCGAACTCAGCTAACGGTAATAGTTTCACAAGAAGACCTGCATCCGCCATCTCCCATTCTCCCCAAGCGCAGCATGCGCAAAGAGTTGCTTTTGTTTCGCGGCTTCGCGTGTTGGGTCAATGCTGCATCGGTCTCTCTTGTGCCAGATCATCTGTGAGGAGCCCAGAGACATGATGTTTGCAAGAATTAATCTGTAGATACATATGTCGCAGAACACCACAAGTTCTCAGCTGTGGTTTGAAGGGATGTCGGCAAGTCTTACAAGTCTCGGAAAGCCCTCGAGCAGAAGTCATAATTCAAGTAGCTTTCCTGGCCTCAACTTGTATAATTGCAACCGACTACAGTATACTGTTGCCTAGCGCACAAGCGTAAACCGGGTAAAAGATACAGTATCTATAAGACTAGTGACGAAGTTGACTCTCATCCCATGGCTCCGAGCTGTCCCCAGTCGACCCATGAAAGCTGTACACTCTGCAGCACCATGTGCTCTTCAAATCGCCACTTCGCATCCGGCATTCTCGTCGACCAGCAGTCCGTGCGATACTGGGTTCTCCGGCTTCTACTTAAGGTACCTACTATATAGGGTAGCAGAGCCCCGAGGCCCTATATAGTAGGTACCTGGGGGGTAAGGGTTACTAGCTGTGCTATGAGCCCATGAACTTCTACATTCCAGCGCAGCTGGCCCAAGCTTCGGTTTTACTCTCGGTTTACGTAAGGAGCTAGTGCCAGCGGACCGCCCTGTGCTCGGCATGCATGCTTCGCAGAACGCTGTGCAGGGTGGAAAACAGAAAAGCCAGTCGCGTGCGCAGGTCTACACCATCAGCTCCTTGTAATGCCACCTACATGAGCATGGACGGCTTACCCTTTCCACCTCCAGCACAGCATCCAAAATCATCAATTGCCGGCAGGAAAGAGATAGCCTGCCACCAGCATTGTGTGAAATCCGACGGTGTACATGATCTTATTTCCTGACGATTCTGGTTCAGTCACGTGCAACAGTGCCAAAATCTCTGACTAGATTCACAACTAACTCTCCTGGGTTTGGTGCAAAGAACACAAAAAACGCTTAATATCTAAACCCTACATCCTGCAAACTCCTTGCAGTGACCTATACAGACAACACTAGCTTCTGTCTCGCAGACGCGGCATCAAGCGCCCGAAGATAATGGACAAGCCCCTCCAAGCCTCAGGAGGGCATTATTAGAATATGGCTCGGGGTGTATTCGAATACGATTAGTAACCTGGTGAGGGATTCTCGAGCCGTACGTGTCCTCAATAGAATATGACACTGTGTGAGAAACAGGCAGAACTTCCACGGAAAAGTATGAAGGTGTGGAGTTCAGGCAGGGCTTGATGTTTGGATCTGGCTTAGAATAGTTGGAGCCGGTGTTCACAAGCTCTTCTGTAATCCAGGCCAGGCTATCGGATTGCTTGCCTATAGACCTCGGGGCAAAATTCAGACACCGAGATCCACTTGATGGAACACATTCTGATGGACAAAACATCTTGTAGAAAGGGGCGCCCGCGGCCTCATATTCTTTCTATCCACTACCTATACACACCCCCAGAAGAATCTGAAAAATCGAACCTCCCCTATCTTAACCCATATACTATATACCGGTAGGATACCTTCTGGGGGGGGGCTCTAATTCTGGACCCTTTAAGCGGTCTAGGTACGTGCAGCCAAGGATCTAAATGGTTCCAGAAGAGGAAGAAGGCAGCCACATGCTGATACCTGGTCCAGGGCTTCAAAGATAAGTCCTCAAAACTTGCAGCTAGTAGCTGGGAACCATCTTGAACAAGCGCAGTGGATCTTGGGACCGCCATGTACGCATGAGATGTTCCTTAAACTACAAGAACCGAAACGACAAAGACCCTATCAAACCAGGCTGGGAGAACGGGCAAGACTTCCAACACAACTAAACGGGACCGCTTGTTGAGGCGAAACTCGAGCGTGCTATGGGCTGGAGCCATTGCAGCATTCCCATGCCAAACGCTGGATAGGGCAGAAATCCAGCCCCCGCCAGCACGACCCCACCCCTCGCTCAAAAATAGCCCGCATGTAGAATAGCCCCGGCACCCGAATTAACAAATCCGAAGCGAAGAGATGTTCAGGCCAGCCACCCAACAAAAGGAAACAAACACACCCAACAAATACAAATGCAACTGCTACTGGTGCTGCTACCACGAGAAATAGCAATAATAATTAATAATGACAATAATACTGATAACCATAACAATAGTCCACCACCACCACCACCACCACCACCACTACCGCCAGCAACAACAAGAACAATAATCATGATAGAAATAGCAACAATAACAAGACCGCTGATAATCACAATAAGCATACTCATACCAAGAAACATTATCATGACAAGCAGAACAATACGACTGGCCCTTCTACTTACACTGCAACCTTTTTGCATCCAGGACTCTCGCAACCAGCCGGGAAACTCCACAAGACAGCAAGTCAACCCTACAATGCAACCCTAAAGCCCCAAACCCCTAAACCCTAAACCCCTATAAAACCCTAAACCCCTCAACCCCTA